GAAATAGCAGCTGGCAACCTGCAATGCAGCTACCCCTATTCAAACCCCACGCAGGGGCAGATACACAGGGTTTAGAGTGGAAGTGGACTAGATACCATGCCTATCTCAGCTCCACCATGTTTTAAAAAAAATGACTCCTCTGCCGGGACATAGCACATGACTGTACTTAAAAAAACTGAATGTCCTTCATTTTAGGGGTTTTACCTATAAATATATAAAAATAATCGTTCTTAATTACTGAAATTAAAGATTGTCAAAACAGTTGAAATGTACATGACAATACAAAAACAAGCCCATGGTGGATTTTTTTAAAGTATAACATTAATGTTATACTTGTTGATGCGAACATTAATAATACATTCATATATGTATCAGTATATATTTATTTAACAAAGTAATAGAATTGAGAAAATGTGGTCCGGCCAAAGCCGGTGCAACGATCACTGAAAACACTGTGGCGACAGTGTTACACAGCTTTTAACCAGCTGCATCCAACTTTTCCACCTTTCCCACAATCAATTTCACATGACAGAATACACTTTTGTAGCCACGGTATGAAACGGAAGCACGACAACCATTTGAGTTTTGTTTTGCAAACTCGTGTCCTATGGGCCTGTGAAAACGCGTGTAAAAGTGAGTCATAAATTTGACTCTTCAATGCTTGTTTTGATGTCATCCAATATTTATGGTGGGCTCTGTAGGTCGGTTATCAATTAGCCTATGGAGAAAGAACCATAATTACAGAGTTTTTATACGATGTTTGATTTTGCTTTTTTAATGTTTGGCTCTCAATACTTTCTATATTTTTAATTACTGTATAATGCTTCCATAACTGGAAGGTTCTGAATATTTACAAGTTGAACGCGCATGTAGCTGCATTTTAATCAGTCTGAAACAATCAATAATGAAAGAAGTGCAGCAAGTTATGTTTTTTCTCATGCCTGGGCACATTGTTACATATGGTTTTAGTAGCTTTTTAGCTTTAATTAAATACGAAGTGTACTGCACATAAATGATCCATGCAAAAACAGTAAATTTTTCATAACGATTTCAGCTGTCTAATTGGTCACCATGTTCCATATTTTTAATAATAGCAGAATATTCATGAACAAATCTACTAGGATTAGGCCTGTCATAACAAAAAAGTGAATACCTGACTGTTAATAGTATACGGGCTTTTACAGTAGTTGTATCAGAATGAATATTAAAAAATTAAGTGAAATTTAATCAAGATTTTCTAAATTTATGTAATGTAATTATAAGCTATAGGCCTACTGTTAAACTAGGATGGTTGTCTGTTGGCTTTTACAGTAGGGGTTCTCAACTGGCGGCCTGTGGGCCCTCTGACCCCGCGATTGCGTGTTATGCGGCTCGTGAGAACGAACCGAAATATTTTCCGTTAGGCTTGGGCCTTCTAACCTTAATAATTTTGCATTCTTGTTTTGCCGACTAGGCCTATAGCCCCACAAATTGTAGCAATTTAATCAATCAAATCAGAAGAACTATCGCAGTAACCAGGGAAGAAAAAAATCATATTATACACACCAACTTTCGGCCTCTCGCACTGTCGCTGGCTTGATGTTTTCGGTCAAGATGCCCTGTATGAGCGTCTAGCGGCTTATTATTTTCAAAAAAAAATTATAATTGCAGGGGTTAGCGGAGGGGGCCTCTATCGCGATATAGTTGATAACCCCTGTTTTACAGTCTGAAAGGACCATTACGGGCTTTTAGAATTCCCCTAATCATGGTGAGACCGAGGTGAGTTCGGACCCCAGCCCCAGTCAAGAACATTTGCTCCCTCGTCCGGAGCAACGGTGGCGCCAGAAATGTCCGACCAGGCCCGTAGGCAGGGAGGCTGCAGAGGGTGCGGATGCACCCCCCCCCCAATTCCAAAAGGTCCACATTTTTAAACCTATTATTTCACAAAATCGTTCTTAATTATCACGAAATGCTATAGCATGCATTGCAATATATATTTTCCAGCTCTTCTAACCGATGATTTTTAATAATGTGCTGATTGATCCATAATATGTAGGCCTATTATCTGTAGGCCTACAGATGTACAGGACATATAACGTTACTTCTTCAGGTCCCAAAAACACACAGAATTAATGAAAATTTAAATAAAATATTCATGAATTATGTGTTTTGAGAAATCCATTATATAAGACCCTCAAAATGCTACTTTGTCGGAGCATCCCGGGGCTTTCTCCTCCAGGACTCTGCCCCTGGACCCCCTAAATTTCAAAAGTCCACATTATAAAACCTATTACCGAAAGGTCCACTGATTAATCTCAGATAAGAAAGTATAATACATACTCCAAGTATTGAAATACACGCCATCGTGTTGGGATTCAATATTTCGACATTAATTATGTCATCATCAGGAATGAAAAAATTATCCATATTAGCAAGCTTATATGCACTAGTACCAAAAGTGTTTAACCAATCAAAACATTACCTCTAGTAGGTGACATAGCAGTG